TATCTTACAATTTTTATTTCTCTTAAAACATAAATTTCTTTTAATTTGCTATTGATTATACTCAGAACGAATTAATTTTGTCAGATCTTTTCATGAAAACAACCAGACCAGTGGCTTTCTACTTTTTCTGCCTCTGGACTACTCACATGGGAAACATCTCTATTATTTACAGCTCTCATTATACATAATTACTTTAATCTGACAGCAGTGTGTAGTGGGGAGTTCCCTACCAAATCTCAAGGAGTGTATGTATAGTCATAAAAGCTAGTTACAGTGCCCCCCCACCCCAGCAGGATGCTCCACAGGTTGAGAGGATCACCACCCAAACTTAGAGCTTCTTAAAGGCAGGGAATCTCTCATATACCACTCCCCCAATAAGCACAGTCCCCGAACCATAGACCACTCTTCATAAACGTTTGTTGAGTAAATATAGATTTTGATGGAGAAAGAGAGCAAGAAGATATTGTTGTTGTTGTTGTTATTGCTGTTATGTGCCGTCGAGTCAGCCCTGACTCATAGCGACCCCTCCTTGGGTTTCCGAGGCAGTATCACTACGGAAGTAGGATTGCCCAACCTTCCTTCCGAGGAGTGGCTGGTGGGTTTGAACCACCAGCCTTCTGGTTAGCAGTCAAGTGCCTTAGCCACTATGCTACCAGAGCTCCTGGAAGTATGGATGAAACAACCAGTAAGAAAGGAAACTGTTAACCTCTTCCCAGTGTTGTCAAAAGCTAGCTTGTGGGGAGACACTGCATAAAATAACCAAAACCAAAACCAAAACCAAACCCATTGCCATTGAGTTGATTCCAACTCATAGCAACCCTATAGTTCAGAGTAGAACTGCCCCATAAGGTCACCAAGGCTGTGATCTTTACAGAAGCAGACTACCCCATCTTTCTTCTGTGGAAAGGCTGGTGATTTCAAACCACTGACCTTTCAGTTAGCAGCCAAGCACTTAACCACTGCACCACTTTTACACAAGGACTCCTTCTTTAAAATAACAATCTAACTCTCATCAAGAATTCATGATGCATCTAGCACTGTGATAAGCACTTTATATGCATTATCTTTTAAATGATTGCTTACAGCAATCCTACGAGGTAGATACTATTATTATTCTCATTTTATAGATGAGGAAACTGAGGCTCAGAGAGGTAAGGTAGCTTGTCTACAGTCACACAGCTGAGAAATGGTAGAGCAGTTTCAAATCCAAGCAATTTGATTCCAGACCTCCATTGCCAAGGTAATCAATGAACTGAAATGCCAGCACTGCGTCAGATCCTTATCATGGCTTTTTCCCCTCCTCCTCCTGGTGCCCCACTCCACATCTGAGCACATTTCCAAATGTTTCTGGACAGAACTAAAGTCCTTCATCATTCCATTTTCCCAACCTCAACTCTATTTTCAGAAGTATTCTATTCCCTTCCCATCCTCCCAGAGGGGTGTCTCTTGCCACTCCCACCTGCAGGTAACTGAAGATCCATTGAGTTGGTGCAATGTCAGAGAATGGGAGATTTGTTGTTTTAGAAACATTCAGAATCCTCTCACCTTTTAGAAATGTCCCCTGGGAGCCAATCTCATTTCCACTGACAGAAATGTTAAGAATTCCTCATAGCCTTCTTTGCAGAGTCTTTCTTCAGAATCCCATAGTCCCGATCTCTTTGTTCTCCTTTAACCCCACTCTAAGCCTCCTTGTCATCTCCTTGTTCACTTGTGTATCTGAGCACCTAGTTTTCCATCATGTGTGATGACTGAAGCTAATGGGAGGGCCTAAGATCAGGGGTCCAAAGATGACCAACCTGTCTCAACCCTTAGTAAAGCACTTGGTAGAGGCTGAACTCAGAGCCCCAGGACTGATTTCCATGGAGACACCCCTGGGGATAGTTACCATGGTAATACTGGAGAGACACTGGCCACAGCAAACGTTACCTCCCCTCTCTAATTTCCTTCAAAAGTCTCCCTAAAGCTAAGGGGAGCCCTGGTACCCTTTTTCAGATATCAAAAGTATTCCTGAGCCATCCCAAACTATACTGACTCTGCTCCAACAGCCCTGCAGGCCTCAACCTAGACATTTCCTAGTGAGGTACTTGATGTTCCTGATTTTATTTTATTTTATTTTATTTTTTTTTTTTTTGCCTCCTTCAGAACTCACTTAACCAATGGGGGACCTGAGGTTGGCAACACGTAGTGGACACATGAATGAAGGAGTGTGTATGCTTGGTGGATTTTTCTTTTTCCTCTCACTGTCATCCCTCTCATGTCTGATGCTCCATTTGTAGGGCCTAGTAGAGGTGTAGCAGCCCAGACAACAGGCAGTAGGCTACTCTTCCTATCAAAGACCAAGGCAGAGAAAGACAGAGAGATACATAAATGCATCCAGAGACAGAGTCACATTGGGTTCTGGGTGACACGAAGAGTAAAACAAGATGCACACCACATAGAGGGTGGCCCAGACATCCTTCTACTATGACTCAGGCCATTAACTTTTGACAAGGCCTATCCCCCAGATTCCTGGGAGAAGTGGGGGGAAGGAAAGGGGGAGGGATATTCTTTCTCCTACTCGTTGCCAAGCAGAACAAAGCCCAGGAAGATAAGAGACGCTAAAGACCAGAGCTAGCTGCAGTGCCTGCCGCAGAGGCAAAGAAGCAGTTATAGGAAGGAGCAGGGGCTGGATTTGGAAAGATTATCTTCTCCCACCTTCACTCTTCCCCGCCTTCCAAGCTTCCTCCATTAATTCCTCAAGCCTTCCCCACCCACTGGCCCCCTAGGGGAAACCAGAGGAGAAAAGGGGTAGGAGATTGTGACCCTCGAGGGTCTCCTCAAAATCACTTCTCCTATAGCCCTCATTCCCTTAAACGAGGAAGGAATTTGGAAGACTAGGAAGGCAAGTGGCCAGGATGCTGCCTGAGACAAAATGGCCCCTCAGAAGCATTTATCTTGGTGTGAGAGATTGACATGGAGGGTTGGGGTGAGGGAAGATACAACACAAGCCAAAGGTACAGCCCTTCCAATAACAGGCTAAGAGACAAGGAAAAAAAGACAAGCTGTGAAGACAGAATCTGAATTGGCAGCCCCTCCCACCAACCTCTCTTCATCTCTTTTTCCTCTCTACCTCCCACTGTGTTTCTCCTGTTTAGTTGGGTTAATTGGACAGATTAACACCACACTGCCTTCTCTCAAGAGTCACCCCCTGCCCCCTGCCCAGCACACCAAGGCACCCCAGGGAGCCTAAAAGAGTTAATTCATACTCACCTGAAATGCTCTTTTCTGGAGCACTTACAAGCAGAAACCTTTTTTTGTGGATTGGCTGCCCCATAACCCCACTGTTATGAAGGCTGTTTCTCAGCTTTCGTGTGTGGTAGAGGGGCTTCAGTTCCAATTCTCATAGTTAATGCCTGCTGTCCAGATTACTCAGATACTGATTTCCCCAGGGACCCAGGCTTTTTTTTTTTTTTTTTTTTAATTTTTTAGCCTGGCCAGACTGACCAGAGGACCCCAGACTGCAAGGCCTGGGATCCCAAGCCAAAGGGAGACAGTGGCACTCCCCATGTGGCAAATACACACAAACTCACACACACATACACAAACACACACAAAGCATCCAATTGAGCTCATAGTGTGAGGGCACAGGGTGGTGGTACAGCCCTCCCTGAAACCCTTGGGGATGGCTAAGCAGGTCTCTTCCTAAAACACCTTTATTCAAAATCTCATTCTCACTGATTCGTAGAGTCCAGGCTTCTTCCTCTCCTTTCCTTCATTCCTTTAACAAACATGATTCCTGCACCTGTGCCAAGGACTGTGGATCAAAGATACGTAAGAAGTGCCCCTGACCTTGAGCAACTTCTTAAGTGTGTCTCTCTCTTCTTAAGCAGGGCTACAGTTTCCTGGCCCCTCAAACTCCACAGGACTCAACCCCCAGATCCTTTCACCCCCACAGCCTGAAGTCCCTACCAGCCCAGGCAAGATGGAGTGGACGAAGCCTAGGAATTCTCTTTGGGTCCTAACAGATAAAGGCCTAGAACAGGAATGTGGGAGATTTGAGTTCAGCTCCATGAATTAACTGTGTGACCTTGAGAAAGTCATTTAACTTTATCGGGCCTCAACGTCTTCATCTATAAAATGGAAATATCTCTATTTGAGAATTAAATAATATGCATACAGTGACAAGCACATAATAAATATTATTGTCCTTCTTAATAAGATCTCCCTCAAGGGTAAGGGTTATCATGATGAGCTGGAGGTGGCTTGCTACTTCTTATTGGATCATTAGGAGAAAGGATGAATAAGCAAGTACTTATGATTTTGGAGTTTGGGCATTTTTATTTGTTGTAGGGGAAGTATTAGGGGGTCTGAAATCATCTTCCCACCGTTCCTGGGAAGAAAAGGCAGACATTTCCTTAGGACCTCAGAGGATTCCCCCCCAAACTGGGTGTGGCAACAATGTATTCCTTTCCCAGAACACCCTTCATCAGACTTGTGCCCTTCCCCCAAGTCCATGCTGTAACTAATTCTGGGATTGATGGAGGATTTGCTCCTGGAGCCCACTTCCGTTCACACCTCCGCAGAGACCCTGCCTGGACTGCCCACCTCCCGTCTAGCCCATCCACCAGCCTTCTCTCCTGCCTTCCTCGGAGGTGGGGGCAGAGATCTGAGCCAATAACAAAAGGAAGATGCACCTTCTCTGGGAGAGAGGGAAAACATCAGAAAAACAGGGGATTGGCTCTAAAGGGTAGGGACCCTGTAGAGAGCAGCAAAGGGATGTTGCGTTCCCTGGTCCCGGGAAAGTAGCCCCCTCCACTCTGCGGAGTCTGGACCGCTGGCCTGGCCAGGCCACACCCAGCCATCCTGATGCAGGGGAGAGGAGGGGCTGCGGAGCGGAGGATGAGGACGGAGGATGAGCGGAGGGGAGGGGGCGCAGTGTGACAGGCAGGGGCTCAAGCTCCGCGATGTAAGATTCAGTCCCTTTTCCCCTCCCCAAAATCCCTTCCAGGGGCAGCACTCACCCCAATAATGACGCTGTCGTCTCCTTGGAAAATGGGGATGAACTTGTCCCCCCGAAGAATCTCGGCCTGGTTGAGAGGCCGAAATCGGCAGAGCACCTTAATGCTACACTCGTTGTTGGTCTCCGCCATGGTGGTCGCCGACGTGGGTCTGGAGCACTTTTGGGGCTGCAGGGGTGATGGGTGCTCCGGAGGAGGAGGGCGCTCAGCTGAGGCGAGGAGCTCTGACTCTGTCGGGGGCGCCGGGGTGAAGACTGGGAGCAGAGCAGGACCCGGGCGCGCTTTCTCTCCTGCGGCACGGGGCTGCGGGAGGGCGACCTGGCGGCTGGTGCTCTCGCGGCGCTCTGCCTCTCCGCCCTGCGCGTTGCAGCGCCGCGCTGCGGGCTTGGGCGGGGCCGCGATGAGGAGCGGGGGCGGGGCCTCCTTCGCGGGGAGCCACTCGGTACACTACGACCACCGAATGGTGTGACCGTTCTTCTCCACTCGCCTTTTCCCCCTCTACCGCCCCCTGAGACTCGGAGATAACCTTGCCCTCACCCTCCCCTACCCAGTTCACACGCTGCGTCCCCTTCCCCCGACCTGTTTGTCCCTCCCTCGGACTCCACCCCCCTGGAAGGGAATAAGGTGTTAGAGGTGGGTGGGTTTATCTAAGGAAGAGGGTCAACAAGGTTTCCATCCCCCTACCCCCAGGGTATCCCCTACCCTGTTACAATCTTCTCTGTAAATTAGGAGCGCACTTATTCCCCCTGTCCACCCCTCACGTACAGACCCCAAATTTCCAACTCACTCAGCCTTCAAGGGCAGCTGCCTGTATCCCTACTGAGTGGGTCTCCAAGTCCCACTCTTGAGGGAAAGGTATCAGGAGAGTCTGGCTACCGTCTCCCCTTCCACATTCAAAGATGCACCCTACTTTCTCCCAAACATATATACCAGGCCCCCAGTTCGAGAGAAGGCAAACTCCCATTCTGTACTATCAGAATTCAAAAGCAGGTGTATTTCTCATTTTTGCTTCTAAATTGGGGCTGGGATGGAGGTGGGCAGGAGCAAATTTTGTAAAGAGAAAGGAAGTGGGAAGGCAATGCAGGAGGGGTGATGATAGGAGTGGGTAAGGTCAGAGGGGCTTCTGAGAGGATCCCTAGATCTGACACCTGCATTTGGGTTTCAGGCAGGTTTAGAGACCTATGTGAGTGCGGGTTTCCTGTTCCAGTTCCCACTGCACAGAGTCCCAACACCCCATCCATCCCCTTTCTCAAGCCTTTCTTCTCTGGAAAAAGTTAAGCCGAGATGCCTTTTCCTTATTCCTCTGTGGTCAGAATACTGCTGCATCCTCTGGGCAGAACCACCAAGATGCTGGCTGAATTGATTTTTCTCCATGTCACAGGCCTTTGCTGGCCAACAGAGTTGGACTGCAGGAGTTGAAGCTCTAGGCCAAAGGGAGGGGCTGGTTGATGGGAGAAAGCAGGAGGGAATAGAGGTTCTGCCCAGCAACTGCGTGGTAAGTGTCTAAGGTCACTTAGGCACTGCAGGGCAAGGATGAGCAGCTGATGGCCTGGCCAGATAAGACCCAATTACTCAGAGCTCATCTGAGGGCGATCCTCTGTCAGGCCTATACCTCTAACCCACCTGAATCTTAAGAGAACTGAGGGCAAATGGTCCAGCACAGGAACTGGATGACAAGGCAGTAGGACTATGGAGAAAGAGAGGAAAAGGCAAAGGGAGGAGCCAGGAGGGTATAGATAGAATGACAATGAGTTCCAAACTGAGGAAAAACAGGCATCTCTCCAGTTACTTGGTCTGGCACTATTTCTAAGTGTTGCAGTATCCTGCAAGCTCTGGAAACATCCTGGGAAACATCCCAACCTTATGGCTCCAGGAAGATGTCCTTAGTGAAAGAGTTTCAAAATGCCAGTCCATGGATATCTAGATATCCTCCCCAACAACAACAACAACATTAAAAGAACAATGTGCTATTATTACCTGTTAGATCAGTGCTCTACTAAAAAACCATCTGCATGGGTGCAGAAGATAAACATTTAATCTAAAGCAAAGATGAGAAGATATGGATGCAGGGAAATTAGAGTACTGTAAAGGAGCAACCAGAACCAAAGAGAATGTTGAAGTCTGAAAACTATTAATGAAGAGGTTAAGAGCACAGAGTGTGATCAAACAGATACCAAGCCACCACTCTTCTATTATATGAACTTTGAAACAGTATTGGCAAATTTAGAGCAAAACAAAAGAAACAAAAACAGGATACCCTGTTAAGTTTTAATTTCAGGTAAATAATTAATCTTTGTGTGTGTGTGTGTGTGTGTATCCCAAATAAAGGAGTTTTGGTGGTGCAGTGGTTAAGGAATTTGGCTGCTAACCAAAGGATAGGTGGTTTGAACCCACCAGCCACTCCACAGAAGATGAGGCAGTTGACTTCCATAAAGATTTACAACCTTGGAATCCCAATAGGGCTCACTATGAGTCAGAATTGACTGGATGGCAGTGACTTTTTGTGTGTGTGTGTGTGTGTGTGTGTCTGCGATTTTATATCCCAAATATGGCATGTAACCTACTTATACTAAAAATGATTTGTTGTTGTTTTTTTTTTTCTGGAATTCAAATGTAACTAGGCATCCTGTTTTTTATTTATTTATTTATTTTTATTGTGATTTGGATGAAAGTTTATAGAACAAATTCATTTTTTATACAACAGTTAGTACACATTTTGTTTCATGTCATTGACTGCAATTCCCCACAATGTGACAGCTCTTTTCCCACTTCCTCCCTGTAGTTACCTCTTCCTTGTGTCCTTCTTTCCCCCTCTCTTGCCCACCCATCCCCCAGCTATCTCCCAGTACAAACACTGCCCTTCTCTCCCATGATTGATTGCTCCAAGGAGTGTATCTTCCTGATGCAAATATTCACCCTATACTTATCTATTCCACAATCTGTGGGATCACGTTTCTTTGGAATGGGTACAAATATGGATCTCTTCCAGTCAGTTGGCCAGGTAGCTGTCTTCAAATCTCTTGGCATAACCGAGTAAGTTCCTCCAAGGGGGCATCCGTTTGTTGAAATATATTCAATGGTATTCTGTCAATTCCCGGAGTCTTGTTCTTCGCCAATTCCTTCATTGCAGCTTTGACTTCCTCCTTCAGTACCATTGGTTCTAGATCATATGCCACTTCCTGAAATGGATGATGACAACCAATTCCTTTTGGTACAGTGATTC